CATTCAAAGGACTGGCCTGTCCTACTGCCTGCCCAGGCCGTGAGGACAGATGGGCGGACAGACAGACAGCTGGCTCTTGCAGGGACTGCTTATCTGGCTCTGCTGGAGGGTGGGGCTGTCTGGGGAAAGCACCATTTCTCTTCTGTATCTTGGTATGAAATATCACCTTGACTGCCACACTTGGGGTTGCTGTTGTCCCTGAGAGTGGGAAGCTGATATTGATGTGCCCCCACTGGCCTTTCCTGGGCTCCTCCCGACGCTGCAAACTGGACGTGCCTCCACTGGCGGGGCCTGAGGGTGGTGTCCTGCAGCGGGTGTGTTAGGTCTTCCCAGAAAGAGAAAGGAGATGCCGTCTCTAAACTGGCCGCTCGTGGCTCAGGATGTGTGACCGGCGGCAGAGATGACGGCTGGCCGTCCGCGCCTGTCTTCCTTACTCCCTCCCGAGGTGTCGGACGTGTGGGAGACGGGGCGCAGGCTGCGGCTGGGGTGGGTAGTGTGTCGGACGTGTGGGAGACGGGGCGCAGGCTGCGGCTGGGGTGGGTAGTGTGCTGCGGCCAGCTGTCAGGATGAGTCTGTGTCACGGTGCCTCAGCCAGGCTCTGCCTGTCGGTGTCCCCAGGGAGCCCTGACGCCTTGTCACCTCCCTGCATGGAGCCCCTCCTCCTAAACTGAGGGAGCTGTGGCAGCCACACATGTGGAGGAGGAACATCCCAAAATGTCTTTCCAATCCCTTCCCGGCACCTGATTCCCCTCTGGGACCCCCCACCCTTGGGTTTGGACACCTCCCGCCAAGGGATCTCGTCATTTACCCTGCAGCTGATGTGACAGTTCACCAGTTCTTTCTTTTGTCGTCTTTTGTCTCCTGTAACTTCCACCTGTTGGTCCCCAGGACTCCAGAAGGACAAGGCCTGGGTCTCAGTGCATGATCCCCAGGTGCTCAGCGTAGTGCTGGCACTCAGCAGACACTCAGCATATCTTAGTGGAAGGAAGGAAGGAAAGAATGAATGAATTAATTAATTAATTAATTAATTAATCGTCTGCTTGAGCCCATCAGTGACACAAAACAGTGCAGTGGGTTTTACATTGGCTGTTGCTCAGGTATTAGAAGTCTCCTGTCCCCACTTGTCACTTTGCAGCTGACCCTTCCGAGACCAACAGCCACTCATGTGACGTGGTGTCAGCCCGCCTCCCCTCTGCATCCTCTCTGGTGCCTCACCCCATGGAGTGTGACTTCCAGTGTGCGGTGCAGGTGCAAGCGGGTGTGGATTCCCTGGCTGCAGCCCGTGGTGGCTCGGAGAACAAGCCGACAGCCCTGCCCTGTGAAGTCCTGGATGTCTGGTCCCCCGCGCGTCTGGGGAGTGCTCCCTGCGCTGTCCCGCCTGCGCACCCGTCTGGCCTCCCACACAGCCTCTGCAGGTTGGCACAGCAGCGGCCGCCAGGCCCTGGGCTTCGGTGTGGCGCTCCGAGCCCTGCTCCCCGCCACATCCTGGCAGGGTCTCTCACAGTCTGTCATCCTCGTTTCATCTTGATTTATGATCAGACCTAATGAGTTTTTGGAGCAGCTGTCTCCCAGGGACAGGCGATCAATCTAGGAGATGGCTGTTGAACTCTGCTCTTCCTGCAGCCAGGGAGGAGGGGCCTGGGACAAAGCGGTGGGGTTCCAGGGTGGGGCAGGTGGGCACTGGGGGTTAGGCCTCTGCCCCCTTTCAGCACCCCTTAAGGTCAGAGCCCCACCGGGTCCTCCTCTTCCCTTTTCTCTGTCTCGTCAGAATCCGGGCCGTAAGGTGGTCCCGGTTTCTTGTAGTCTGGCTGGTTTGGAGACCATGCTGCAACTCCTCCCGCCCTCTCCACCCCCAGGGGACACAGCCCAGCACCCACCTTCATGTCTGCATGGTAGGGGGATCCACAGAGCCCCTCCGCTTCCAGGTTAGCTGGGGCTCACCCCACCCCAGGCCCAGGCCCAGGCCCAGGCCGTCCTGGAACCACCGCTGTCCCTGGTGTGAGAGTGCCCTTGCTCACCTGCAGGCCTCCCCCAACTGGAGTGTGAGCGCCCTGGGGGCAGGCTGGGCCTGGCACACAGCAGGGGGGTCCAGGGGCCGGTGAGCCACCTCTGCTTGCAGGTGAGGTGCTCAGGTTTGCCCTGCCTCAGGGCTGGTGGCATTTCCATGCTGCCAGTCTCCGCTTGTTGAGCCTTTGACAAAACAGGGTGCAAGGTGTGACTAACAGGAGGGCACGAGTGAGACTTGCTCCTGGGCCTGTCCCTCCAGATGCTTGTCGGGAGCTGCAACCCCACAAAGTGACCACTTTTCAACACTTTTGGAATCACCTCCCAAGAGCTTCTAGCATCTTCTTTTCACTCCTGGATGGCAACAAACATCCAGCCTGTGATAGTAGAATATTTAGATTTTGAAAACAGACCTATTGTTTTTTTGTTTTTTTGTTTTTTTCTCTTAAACTTTTCTTCCTACAGACCTATTGTTTTTGGACATGGGTTTAAGAGAATTAAGAGAACAAGACGGGTGACTGATGTAGGTAGTGGCATCATGAGGTGAAACTAATTATGGCTAGACAGTTGTGAGATAAATTTTTTATCACCACCACCATGGCTTTGTAGGCCATCCTGAAAGTTCTAGAAAATGTCTTACAATATCACTGGCATAAAATACAGCCTCCCAAGACAGCGGCTCTGGAGGACCCCACCGGCAGGTACACACTGGGGACGGGGGACGGGTGTGCACATACACGCACACGCTCTGTAAAGTCAGTGTCATTTCTTTGGAAACGTACCCCGTGTGTTCACATCAGGCAAGCCCCAGTCAGGCTGTCCAGGCAGCTTGCCTTGAAGCCAGCCAGCCGGTTCTAGCTGCCTTTCTTGGGAGATTTAAGGCTGGGGAGGTAGAGGAGCAGCGAAGCACTGGCCCACAGAGATGGAGGTATTCATCCTCTTCCTCCTCCTCCTGCCTGCCAGACCCCGGGCCTGAGGCTGAGTAACAGGCTAGAAAATTCTTCCACTTGTCTCTTTCTAAATTCATGCCGGCCTTGGCCAGGGCCAAGTGCCAGGTCACAAGGTGGCACCCCGAGGTGGCAGTGGCAGCCCAAGATGTAAATCTTGCCTTACAGCAGCTGCCCCCTTTGCCCTGACCCTGCCCTCCTTGTTGTGGCAGAACTGTCTGCTGCAGCCTCCTGAGTGACTAATCACCAGGCGGCCCGGGCCTAGCTGCCAGCTGCACCCCTGACCCTGCTCAGCCTGTTCTGTGATCTTCTGGCACACGGGACTCCACCTCCAGCCTGGCTAGTCTTTCCCAGGTGCCCCTCCTTCACCTCCTGCCCCGGCACACCCCTCCCACACCCACCTACAGAAATCTCTGCGACAAGCAGACTGCCTGGGGTCCTGGGCTGTCCCATGGGTGTCCTGTGCCCCCAACACCCAGAGGGTCCACCCAGAGGCTGTTCAAGACAGAGGGAGGAACTAGGTCGCCACTTCCCCTTGACTGACCAGGGCTGGGAAGATTTGCAGTGCCCCTGGAGCAGTGGGAGTCGCAGGGCTCTGGAGTGGCGGGGACTGGAGCGGGCTGTGAGAGTCAGAAACAAATCATCTTTGCTGGCAATTTTCACAGGCCTGTTTCCACGGTCCCTCCCCCCGCTGTCCGAGACAGTGTCAGGCAGTTCTGATTAAAGGTAATGGATGAAGACTCCATCCTACTCCCCAGTGACATCGTGGGAAGACATTGCCTGACTTCCTGTGGGTCCCAGCAAAACAACCCCTTCTATGAGTGGGGGAGTATGATGTGACCTGAAGGGGACAGTGGGGGGTCCCCACTGGCCTCCCACCTGGGGAAGAGCCCCTCAGCCTCTGATGGGGCCCCAGACAGGAGTGGCTGAGCCACCTGCTGGCCTCTTCCAGCCCACTCCACCATCATGCCTGCCTGTGGGCTCACCAAGAAATGTCACATGTCCTCGTGGGCTTTACCTGAGGGATGGGGCACCGGCTAGAGGGGCTGTCCGATTGTTCTGAACAGAGACAGCAGGGATTAGACACAGGGACACTGGTGGTCTCTGTGTGTGTCAAGTAGTTAACAGTGACAGTTCTGAGTAGTCTGGATAGCAGACAGCAGAAGCCAGAGGGACACACAAAGCTCTGGGAGTACCATCCTCTCAGAGTGCTGGACGCTTGTCCGCTGGTGGCACATTTTCTTGAGCCCTGCCATGTGCGGCTCTGCTCAGCCTGTCACTGGACAGGTCATGCCCTGGAGCGCAGGCTGGCGGGCTGTCTGCCGGGAGAGGCGAAGCCAGCCTGGCCCCAGCAGCAAGAGAAGCCTGTTTGCTCTGAACAGATAGGGCCACAAGTCCCCTTCCACTTTCGCAGCAAGTCACCTATCCCTAGCTGTGCCACCAGGTCTAGAACAGAGCCATGTGTCATGCATCTCCAGCCTTGTTGCCTGCAGCTCAGGACTCAGCAGTCCCCAGCATTGGTGCCACTTGTCCCCTGGAGTGACCACTGGTAACTTCCTGCCTGTTCTAGGCCCCTGAGCAGCCCCCTGTCTGCTCAGGGCTCTAGCATTCCTGCCTGTTTGCCTTTAGCTGTATCTAGTAGGTGCCTTGGCCCAGGGGGACCCCTCCTCCCAAATGCTCTGTGCCCACTGCCTCCACCCCGCAGAGCCCCAGACACACATCTCTTTAAACCAAGGAAGGAAGAATGAACAGGAGTCGTGACCCGGCCTGCTGCCTGCCAGGAAGCTGGCAGACCCCCGAAAGCCCCTGGCCAGGACTTGGCCACCTCCAAGAAGACAGAGCTGCTGCCACGTCTGCAGTGCAGGGCCACCCTGCATGGCCTGGCACAGCCCTGTCCCCATGTGCCCAGGCCGCCTGCTCAGGGGAAGGGGGGGAACGGCACGGAGAGGCCTTCCCAAGAGAAGCAGCCGCTGTTGGCCTGCCCCAGACGCGGCCTTCAGGCTGCATGAACGTGCAGTTAACGGTTCTTTCCTCCCCCTTGTTTTCCAGCCTTCGCCGTCATGATCGTGCTGGCGCTGGTCCGCATCGCGCACGGCCACGGGGAGGGGCACCCGCCCCTGGCCGACCTCTCTGGGGTCCGAAACCTGTTCGGGGTGTGCGTGTACTCCTTCATGTGCCAGCACTCGCTGCCGTCCCTCATCACCCCCGTCTCCTCCAAGCGCCACCTCACGCGGCTGGTGTTCCTGGACTACGTGCTGATCCTGGCCTTCTACGGCCTCCTCTCCTTCACCGCCATCTTCTGCTTCCGCGGGGACAGCCTCATGGACATGTACACCCTCAACTTTGCGCGCTGCGACGTCGTGGGCCTGGCCGCCGTCCGCTTCTTCCTGGGCCTCTTCCCGGTCTTCACCATCAGCACCAACTTCCCCATCATCGCCGTGACCCTGCGCAACAACTGGAAGACGCTCTTCCACCGCGAGGGCGGCACCTACCCGTGGGTGGTGGACCGTGTCGTGTTTCCCACCATCACCCTCGTGCCCCCCGTGCTCGTGGCCTTCTGCACCCATGACCTGGAGTCCTTGGTGGGCATCACGGGGGCCTACGCGGGCACCGGCATCCAGTACGTCATCCCCGCCTTCCTGGTGTACCACTGCCGCAAGGACACCCAGCTGGCCTTCGGCTACGGGACCGTCAACAAGCACAGGTCCCCTTTCCGCCACACCTTCTGGGTGGGCTTCGTGCTGCTCTGGGCGCTCTCCTGCTTCATCTTCGTCACAGCCAACATCGTCCTCAGCGAGAGCAAGCTCTGACGGCGGGACGGTCTGGTGACGGCAGCCTCACTGCCCACAAAGCCAGGATTTAGTGGCCTCCCAGGACTTCTTGGGGCAGGTGAGGCCCTGGCTCTCAGAGGGGACTCTCCGCCCAACCCGGGGGTCTTCTCTGCTCCCCAGACTCTGGCCAGTGTGCATCTGGCCTCGCTCGCCGGGAGGTCTCCTCCCAGACCCTCCTGCCTGGGCGCACGCAGCTGCCCCCGCGGCCAGGACTCCTTAGCGGAATCACCCCGTTTTACAACACACTCCACCCCACCGCCAGAGGCAGGCCCCTCCCCATGAGGTGGGAGATGCAGTGCTGGCACTGCCACCATTTGTACCAGCCCCACGTCCCTTCCTGCTCCCTCCGCAGCCCCCTCCTCTGTCCTTGTCTGGAAAGTCTCTGCTAGCAGCTGCTGCCTCTTTGGAGGCAAGTCCCAGGCGCTAAGCATCCTAACCGGCCTGCCTGTGATGGGCAGGGCCACCCTTCCCGCCAGGCCTGGGAGTCACTAAGTGCCGCTCCTAGGAGAGGGCCTGGCTGGCCGTGATGACAAAAGCAAGAAGTGCTAATTGGGACCAGGGCCCAACCGGAGCTGTGAGGGCCCTTGCTGTGGGCGCCAGCTCCAGAGCCGCAGGCCGGAGGGAGCTCCCCTTCCACGGGAACACAGCAGCCTGTGAGCTGCGTTTAAAGCCCAGAGCCTGTGTCCCCGAAAGGGACCCGCTGCCCCACTGGAGCCCTCCGGTCTCTCTCAGCGTACGGGGCCGCTAGAGGGAAGCCACCCTCACCCAGCACCCTCAGTGGCTTGGGAGGGCCATGGGCACGAGGCAGTGGGAGGGCCCAGGGCCCCCCCATGCAGACGGTCTAGCTGCTCCCACTCCAGTGGCTCCCTTAGGAGCCAGGTGTGGGTGCTCAGTGTTCATGCTCTTCATGTCCTGTGGGTGACATGGGGTTGGATGGGGCACCCACCACCATTCCCCAGCCACCTTCCCCTCACGCTCATACACACACCTGGGACCAGCCTCTTCAGAAGCACAGGTGACTCAAATGAACTCTGCATTTTCAATGTGCCTTCTCCTGCTTCAGGACCTGGGGTCCTTCCTGACCCTGCCTCGCTTGCCCCCAGCCCCGGGCCCACCCATCCTGGAGCCGGGAGCTGCCTCTCCGGGGCGGGGTCTCAGGGCCCTGCCCCTCCCTCTCGATTGCAGTGCCTTGCTTACCCTCCTGGGGAACCTCCCTGCGACCCTCCCCTGCATCTCACTGTCTTCGGGCCTGGGACAGAGCAATGATGCCGGATCTGCTGGGGACCCAGGTGGTCTCGGGGTCAGGGGACATGTGGAATTTGCAGGGAACATGGGGGGACCCGCAGGCAGCCCGCCCTCCACCTCTGCCCTGGCAGTCGGAGCCTGAGAGCCCCTGAATGGTGCAATTGGCCGATGACTTTCTCACTGTCGTCATGCCTCGGCAGTTCTCACAGCTTGTCCCCACATATTATTTTCCATCACAGGAAAAGCAAATGCCCCTCCCCCATCTGCCATTGTAGCTTCTTCCCAGGAAGCCCTGCAGGGTGGGCAGAGCCAGGGCGCCACAGTGGCAAGACTGGGCCATGCCTGGAGCTGCCCAGCTGTTTGCTGAAAACTCAAAACATCTGTAGTTACCATTTGCCGATTACGTTCCCTCTTGCTTAAGGACAAAGCAAATTAAATCATCCCGCCGCCCCAGGCTCCAAACCAAATTTTGGACTCTTATTTATTAGCATCATAAAGCCCAGGTTGATTTATGTGACTATCTGGAGCCACACAGTGATGGAGTCTATGGCTGTGTCCCCCCTTCCCAGCCGGTGCAGCCCAGTCCTGGAGGGAATTGGCCCAAGGTGACCACGCCATAGACGCCAGGCTGGGCCTTCAGCACTGCCACCATCTCGCTGCTCTGCTTCTGGTTCCTCTGCTGCCGGTCCTGCCACATGTCAGATGGGGTCACTTTGGAGTGCCACAGACAGCTGGGGGGCCTGGGGCCAGGAATAGGGGTCCCCAACAGTGAGACATTCCCAGGTGATGCTGGCTCTGCACAGGCATCAAGCACACTTAACTGCAACTGGTTTTATGTCTGTGGTGAGGTGGGCAAGGCAGGTCGTGGTTTCCACTTAGCAGATGGGTCAGTGGTGGGGAGGGCAGAAGAGGTTGCCAACCTGCCTTGTACAAGTGTCGCTCTGGAGGGGACCTTCACTCACAGCTCCACCCCACGTCATCCCCCTGGGCTGCCCCACATGTCCCCGAGAGCAGGCCAGGCCCAGGTGGGCATGCGCGCCCCACCTCCCTCCTGCGAAGCACCACCTGGGCACCAGAGCCTGGTGCCGGCAGCTCCTGGCTGTGCCTCACCTGGGGCCGGAGTGGTGGCCTCTGGTTATAGATGGAGCAGATGGCGGGTGACAGGCTGAGAGGCACTGCTGTGGGTGGAGGGTGCACAGTGGGCACTGTGCCGGGCCCCCAGCCACACAGCTGTTCCCACCACAGGGGGGCTGGGGCCAAAGCCAGAGCAGTGGGGCGCCGTGCCCCACCTCCTGGGAAACCAGCCCAGAGGGGCAGTGGCTGGCAGTGCTGGGCCCTGGGGAAGCGGAAGGCTGAGGCTTCACTTGTCCAGGAGGCAGATTCTCGAGCAAGGCCGACTCGTGGTAAGGGCCACTGAAAAACTGGCTCCAGAGACCAAGATCCAGGGCACAGCAGAGGGTTTGGGGTCCCTTCCCCCTGGGGCCCGTGGCATCCATTGCAGACTGCAGGAGTAGCGTCTGCTGAGGGCCGGTATGTGCTGGGCACAGCACTGGGCACTTTCCAAGTGGACAAGCAGCCAGACCTGCTGCTTGCAGGCAGTGCACCTCTGTGACTCTCCCCGCTCATTTGTAAAGTTGGTGACAGTAGCTGTGTCACTGACTGGTGGTGGGAATTAAAGTACTGAGCTTAGTGCCCAGCACAAAAGTGCTCAATAAAGCTATTCTTTACTGACGCCTGTCTATCTTGTCACTTGCCTGCAATGACTGCACTTCTAGCTGAGGACCCCTGACTCATCTAGGACTCCAGACTCCTACTTGGTTTCACAGCCTTCTAATGATTTGAGTGTCATCTTGTAGCCACAGCCTGCTACAATTCAGCCATAGGAAATTGACCTGAATTCAGAGTCTAGAGGGTTTGGGGATTTTGTCCCCTTTCAAAGACAGGACATGCCAGGCTAGAGGGTCCTGGCCATGGATATCGGCTCACCCTTTTGTAAGCACTTCCTCCCTCCCCCACACACCTGGCTCCCTGAGGAAAGCTGGCATGGACCGTGAGCTGCTCAGCTAGACATGAGGCAGAACAGCTAGGGCAATGGCAGGAAGGCCCTGGTTAGACCAGGGACAAGAGCCTGTCTCCCTGCATCTCACGAAAAGAAGAAAAGCAGTATGTGGGGTCAGGTGCCTCATCAGCAGGCCCTCGCTGTGGTGAGCTCACATCCAGGGCCTCCCCTCCCTCCCCTCTGCCCTGCCAGGCTTTCTGCCCTCCCCTCTGTGGCCCTGGCGCAGGAGGCAGGGAAGCCAGGCCAAGCTCAAACTGAACTCACAGGAGCATCCTTCCTGCTCCCTGTCCCCCAGGGCCCAACCCCACCCCTGCTGAATATATCCTAGAGAACTTCTCCCCCACGCCCCGCCCGGGGAGCCAGCAGCAGGCTCAGGTCCACATTTGCCTCTTAATTATCTTTCCGGTTCTTGCTTATTAATGATCTTGGGCAGCAAGCGGAGCAGCCTGGACCTCAAGCTCCTCCCAGGGTCACCTGCTGCAGCCCTGAAGCCAGAGCTGGAGGCAGACACAACTCAGTGAGGGGGGAGTCAGGTCCCAGGGCTGGTGGCCAGCAGTTGGCACTCTGACCGCCCCTGGCTGCAACCAAGGTCAAGCTCCCTGCTGGAGTGCCCACCTCCACTCTCCCTGCCCACCTGTTGTTGAACCCTCCCCCTCCCCCATCCTGGACCTCGATCTAGCCCACGACAATCCACAGGGCCACAGAATATGAAACAATTGTCATAGAGCAGGACACCCACTCTCGGAGTGGTCACTCTCCAGCCAAGAATGGAGGGGTACCCACCTTGCTACTTCAGCTGCCCTCAACCCTAAAGCCAAATAAAAAAGGTTCAGTTCTCATGGCCCCAACCCAAGCAGCAGGGTCTTCAGAGACTAAAGAGGGAAGCCAGCAAGGAGCAGTGGGGAAGGGCACCGGGCAGAGACACCTAGCACGGCCCCCCTTCCTCTCTGCTGCACGTGCCTAAGAGCCACGCTGCCTGCACCGGACAGGCCTTTACATCCTCAGCAGTTATTAAAGATAGGATTCTACTCTAACAGAATCCATACAGCTCACTGTTGGGGAATGAATAGATGAATGAAGGCTTGCTTGCTTCAGAGGGTCATTGTGGGGGATAAACGTAATTGAAGATGTGAAAACATTGAAAATTGTAAGCAAAAGCCATCTTTTTAGGTGGTCCAAGCCAATGATGTGTGACAGAGAAAGGAGGTAGCGCTAGGAGCCCCAGAGGGAGGACGCGGAACAGAGGCGGCAGGGAGATTCTCCCACCAAAGGAGTCCTGGCACCCGGGAGGCTGAGCCAGGCCTGACCCCGCAGTCCCCTGTGCCAGGCCTCCTGGGCCCCGAGAGCAGTCCCAAGCCTCGCACTTCAGCAACGGAGACAATGCAGCCAGCAGGGCACGGGCCAGCCAGGCGGGCTCCCACAACAGACCTTCCTCTGCCTTTCCCACCATGACACCGAGGCTCCCTGGCAAGGCAGGACAGCCACAGCCCCTCGCACGACCCTCGCTTTTCAAGGAGACTGAGCGACAAACTCCACCAACCATCAGTGCCCCCGAGCACACTTGTCACATCCAGCAGCAGGGTGGGTGGGAGCTGGCACTGAACACCAAGTGGCCTCTGCCACCCCCTCAGCCTCACCTCCTCCCCATGTCCCTCTCGGAGGGAGCTGTCCACCTGCCCTAGGCAGACACCCCGCCTGGGAGCCCAGGACACTCCCAGGATGTTCCCACTGCCTGGGGGCTGTGCTGTGCCCCCTCCAGGATGCAGAATGAGACAGCCCGGACCAGTGGGTTGTAAAAGGTTGGTTTAATGTCCCAGTGCTCCGATGAGAAGAAACTCCAGCCAGGTGGAGCAAGGATCCAGCCTCCATGCCCCCCCACCAAGATCACACAGCCGTGACTAGGAACTGGCAACACCAGGGCAGGGAGACCCTCACGGGTCTGACCCATGCTGTTCCCTGGGACTCCACGCTGGGTGGGTAGGACTTTGCATGATAAGGGGACGCCAGAGCCCAGCCCAAACCAGGGCCTGAGTCTGCTGAGGTCCCTGACCTGACCATGGAAGACATCATCTGTCACTGGAGTCCCATGGGCAGGATTTCATCCTGGTAGAAGCCAGAGAACCCAGCGGACCAGGAACCAGAGTGGCCAACACCTCACACTTCTGACTCCAAGCTAGAGATCCGCCTCCAGGTGCAGGGTCCCAGGAAGCCTTGCGTCCCACAGGCTACCCTGCTGACCTCGGCCAGTCCCCCACTGTCCCTGTAGCTTGTGCTCAGCCCCAGAGTCCTGCCCCTGTGACCGGCAGGCCCCCAGCCCCCAGTGAGCCAGGGGCTGTGGCTGGCACAGGGTGGGAGGTGAGGGCAGACAGCCCCCCAGCAAAACGGCAGGTGGGCATGGGCGTGCAGGCAGACGTGCCGCTGGTGCTGCCAGGCGGGGACGCTCGCCGGCGCGCCCTCCAGGCAAGCCTCCCGGTAGGACGGCAGCCGCATGGACTGCGCCTGCGCGAAGCGTCTGCAGGCCCGGCGGCCGTCGGGGCGGGCGCAGGCGGGGCCCGGGCACCCGGCGGGCAGCGAGCTGGGCTGGGTGAAGGCCTCCGCCACTGAGCTGGGTAGGGAAGCGTGGCGCGGGCGCGAGCCCCGGGCCCAGGCCGCGCGCAGCAGGGCCTCCCGCCGGGCTAGCTGCTCGGGCCCGAGCAGTGGCAGGTCCTCCGGCTCCGGGGGCTCCGGGAAGAGCGGGAGGAAGGGGCGCCCCGATCGGTCGGCTCGAGGGAAGGAGCTGTAGTGACAGCACGCGGGGGACAGAGGACGCTCTAGCAGCGCGCGCCGCTCCGAGGCAGAGAGATGCCGCCCGCAGTGCCTGGTCCGCACTGGCCACCGCGCCTCCCAAACGGGCCGGCGCGACACCCGGGGATTGTCTGGCAGGGGCGACCCGGCTGTCGGGGGCCGGCCCGGGGGCTTTGGGGCTCTGCGCACGAGCGCGGCGCGACCCGCGCCTGGCGGCCCGCAGTCTCTGGGACTCGGCTCGGGGGGCGGGCCGGGGCTCGACTGGCGCGGGCCAGGGCGGGGCTGCGGGGCCGGGCAGTTGGGCGGTGGGGGCGCACGGAGGCCACCGCCCCAATTCTCGATGGTGCGCGTGGCGCGGTCCAGGGAGCTGCTCACGCCCGCCGTGGTCACCATGTCGCGCGCCGCCTGCAGCATCTTGAGCACGCTAGCCTGGGCCGAGCTGGCTGTGAGGTCGGGGCTGGGCGGCTGCGGGGGGCTGGCCAGGCTCTGCACCCCGTTGAAGCAGCTGTAGATGCCCTGGACGGTAGGGAAGAGACAGTCCGTAAGGGGCGCCCTCCTTGTAGGGACCGGCAGCGACTGTCCCCGCCCCTCCCGAGGCATCAGCCTTTTCCTAAGTCCCAGGAAGCAACTCTTTGTGAAGGGTCTCCCCTGTGCCAGGCGCTGTGCTGCTTCACCCAAGAATGAGTTGTCTGAGCTCCCGGGGGCAGCTCAGTCTCCAGACCACTCCAGCTAGCGCCTGGCACAGCGGGGGTTCGACTCGGGCACGCCTGTGGCAGGAGGGCTCTGCTCCTCGTGTGCTCTGCCATGCTGGCCACGCCACCTCTTGGGACCGGGCTTTACCTCTGTAAATGGGCTGTGGCCAGCTCTGACTTATCCAGGTTGGTGGCCCTAAAGCTGTGGCCCTGGGGCAGGGCAGGGGGCAGAGGCAGGCACCCACCCTGCTAAAAGCCAGCAGGAAGTCCAGCTGGGATGTGCTGGACACCGAGTGCCGCAGCTTCCAGTAGACAAGGTGCTCCCAGGCGAAGACCAGCAGCGCCAGCCCCATGGCCACCAGCAGCATGTAGAAGACACCGGCCATGTTGTCGATGTCCAGCTTGCTGCTCATGACCTCATTCTTCTCTGTCTGGCAGATCCCCGAGAGCCACACCGTCTCCAGCTTCTGTGTCTCTCCTGGGGGGGCATTTCTGGCTCAGGAAATCCCCCTAAATGGACCCCCCAAAGCTCACCTTGCGGTGAGCAGCAAAGAGGGATCTGGGACCATGGTGTCTCCCCTTCTTCCCCAGGTAGACAGCACAGGGACCAAGCCCAGCAGGGCAGGAAGGGGGGGTGGGGTCAGTGAGCAGCAGAAGGAAAGCAGAGTGGGCGTCCTTGGGTCCTCCACCTGCCCACCTCCAGTAAAGGGCACCTAGGTGCCCAGTAAAGGCTTGTTGACTGGGTAGATTTTAGCATTCACTCATTCACTCGTCACCATACACTTATTAACCATCTACACGCCAAGCATGGAGCCGGGCACACACAGACCAAAGGCCTAGGTGACCACAGCACCCTCACTGTGATCGCTCCCATCATTATATGGTATTGAGAAATCTGAACATTTTTTATCTAATAAGGACAGAGCTCCTCTAAACTCAAAGCTCTCTGGACTTGAGGGTGGGCTGGGCTGGACCACTCACATGTGTGGGACTAAGCAGGGCCTTGGCACTACCCCACATAATCTCAGGATTACCATCCTGAGATGGTCCAGGGGGACCATCCTGGGCAAAGGAGGGGCTCATCTGGGAGAGACCGTGGGGGAGGGCAGGTCTTGGGGAAAAGAAAAGGGTTCAGCCACTGCCAGCCCTCCTGTGGCTGAGGGACTGCCCAGCTCTAGCTCCTGCTCCCTCCCTGC